GTGCCTCAGCCTCCTGAGTAGCTGGGACTACCGGTGTGTGCCACCATACCCAGCTAATTTTTATATTTTTAGTAGAGACAGGGTTTCACCATGTTGGCCAGGCTGGTCTTAAACTCCTGACCTCAAGTGATCCGCCCACCTTGGCCTCCCTAAGTACTGAGATTACAGATGCATGCCACCACACCCAGCCTATTTCTTCTTTATGAAGTGGAAATTAAAATGTTAAGAATTAGATGATTCATGTAAAATATAGTGTTTAACACTATATGTAGCATATAATGCTCTAAAATTATTATTGTAGTATGTTCATTATAGAAAAATTATAAAACAAAGATAAACCAAAGTAAGAAAGATGTTTCTTTTTTTTTTTCCCCTTTTTTTTTGAGACCGACCATAGCTCACTGCAGCCTTGACCTCCCAGGCTCAAGTAATCCTCCCACCTCAGCCTCCCAAGTAGCTGGGACTACAGGTGCACGCCACCACACCTAGCTAATTTTTAAACTTTTTGTAGAGACAGGCTGTTGCCCAGGCTGGTCTTGAACTATGTTGCCTAGGCTGGTTTTGAACTCCTGGGCTCAAGCAATCCTCCCACCTCAGCCTCCCAAAGTGCTGCAAATACACATATGAGCCACCATACCTGGCCAGAAAAATATTCTTAATCGAGAGCTATTATCATTAATATTTTGTTGGTCCTCCTTTCCTATAGTAATATATGTGCATATAATTGTTAACCAAAAATAAAGCAAGTTATAAAGCCATATGTTGGCCGGGCATAGTGGCTCACACCTGTAATCCCAGCACTTTGGGAGGCCAAGGCAGGTGGATCACTTGAGGTCAGGAGTTCAAGACCAGCCTGGCCAACATGGCGTAACTCCATCTCTGCTAAAAATACAAAAATTAGCCAGGCATGGTGGCGGGTGCCTGTAATCCTAGCTACTCGGGAGGCTGAGACACAAGAATCACTTGAATCCAGGAGGCAAAGGCTGCAGTGAGCTGAGATCGTGCCACTGCACTCCAGCCTGGGCAACAGAGCGAGATTCTGTCTAAAAAAAATTAAAACAGGCCGGGCATGGTGGCTCATGCCTGTAATCCCAGCACTTTGGGAGGCCAAGGCGGGAGGATCATGAGGTCAGGAGTTCAAGACCAACCTGACCAAAATAGTGAAACCCCATCTCTACTAAAAATACAAAAATTAGCCAGGCATGGTGGTGTGTGCCTGTAGTCCCAGCTACTTGGGAGACTGAGGCAGGAGAATCACTTGAACCTAGGAGGTGCAGGTTGCAGTGAGCCGCGATCTTGCCATGCACTCCAACTTGGGCAACAGAGTGAGACTTCGTCTCAAAAAAAAAAAAATCCTTATGTAAAATTTTTACCTTGCAGGCCTCTTTGTGGCCTTTAGTGCTATACCTAGTCAGGTCAGTTGTCTTCTGGGACACTATCTCATTGTTTTCCATCATTTCTTTTCTCCGCATCCTTTGAGATCAACATACAGAAATCAACTGTGTTTCTATACCTTTGCAGTGGACAATCTGAAAATGAAATAAGAAATAATTGCATTTCTGAATAGTATTTTAAAAATCCATAGAAATAAATTTAACGAAAGAATTGCAAAATTTGTGTTGTGAAAACTACAAAACGTTGAAAGAAATTAAAGAAGACCTAAAGAAATGGAAAGATATCCTATATTCATGGATTGGAAGACAGAATTTTGTTAACATGGCTATGCTCCCCAAATTGGTCTACACACAGTTTCTATTAAACACAGTCTCTATTAAGATTCCTGCTGGCTTGGTGCAGAATCGACAAGCATATTCCACAATACATATGGAAATGCAAGAGGCATAGAAAAGCAAAAACAGACTTGAAAAAGAATAAAGCTGAAGGACTCATACTTCCCAGTTTCAAAACTCACCAAAAAGCTGGAGTAATTAGGGCAGTGTGCTACTGGCAAAAAGACATGAAGAGAAACATCTTTGTTAACTACCTCAAGAGGTCAGCTTCACAATTTAGCCCTGGACTACTAGCTTCTCAGATAATTGGTCTTAAGGAGTTTCCCCTCTTCATTATAACTTTTCTTTCAATTGGGGGAAAGAAAACTACATGTAAATAATTCAAAATAATACAGAACAGTGTGATGCAGAGTCAGGATTCCCATCTCTCCATCAAGTGTATTTCTTTCTAGTGTATGTCTGATTTCTAACTGACTTTAAAAATCATTTTGTGGGGCCAGGCATGATGGCTCACACTTGTAATCCCAGCACTTAGGGAGGGCTGCAGGTAGGAGGATTGCTTGAGCCCAGGAGTTTGAGATCAGCATGGGAAACATAGCAAGACCCCATCTCTACACACACACACACACACACACACACACACACACACCCACAAATTAGGCATGTGGCTCTTGGCCTGCTGTCCGTGGGAGGATTGTTTGAGCCCAGGAGGTCAAGGCTGCAGTGACCTGTGATCACACCACTGTACTCCAGCCTGAGAGAAGAGTGAGACCCTGTCTCAAAATAATAATAATAATAATTTTGTGTGACTTTTTTTTTTTGAATCAGAGTCTCGCTCTGTCGCCCAGGCTGGAGTGCAATGGTGGGATCTTGGCTCACTGCAGCCTCCGCCCCCTGGGTTCAAGAGATTCTCCTGCTTCAGCCTCCTGTGTAGCTGTGATTACAGGGGCACACCACCATGCCCAGCTAATTTTTTATATTTTTAGTGGAGACAGGGTTTTGCCATGTTGGCCGGGCTGACCTCAAACTCCTGACCTTAGGTGATCGGCTGCCTCGGCCTCCCAGAATGCTGAAGTTACAGGTGTGACCCACCACTCCTGGTTCACAAACTCCATTTTGCCTTTGGCAGAGGACATGTTTTCTTTCTTCGTGCCCTCTGGGTATGAAAGGGGTCCCCAAGCTTTTCCTGGCTACCACTTGCTCTGACCTTATACATGTTGGGTTTTGCTCTTAAAGAGGACAGCAGGAAGAAAGGTTGGTTTCAGAAACCAAGAGGGTTGGCAGTGGATGTGCAGATTTTGTCACGGAGTCTACAGAGCTCAGCTTTTGAGCCTCTGAGAAGTTTCATTTCTTGTGCAGAAAGAGTACAACTGAATTCAAGTTTGCCTTTAGAATTGCACTGAATAAAATACTGCACACTAAAGGAAAGCTTATTTTCTGCACGGTTGTCTTTTCAAAGACAGAATATCTGAAGCATGTTTCCTAGAGATTGTGTGGATGAGGGTGCGCTGGCAGAGGCATCACTCAAGCTAGGGGTGGTGTGTAAGAAGCACATGGAGCCACAAGAGGCACCTCCTATAGTCAGCTAAAGGCTTCCCTTTCTCTGCCCAGCTTTTGGTTGAAGAGTGATTTTTTTTTTTCTTTTTCTTTTTTTTTGAGATGGAATTTTGCTCTTGCCCAGGCTGGAGTGCAATGGCACGATCTCGGCTCACCACAACCTCCCGGATTCAAGTGATTCTCCAGCCTCAGCCTCCTGAGTAGCTGGGACTACAGGCATGCACCACCACGCTCGGATAATTTTGTATTTTTAGTAGAGACGGGGTTTCTCCATGTTAGTCAGGCTGGTCTCGAACTCCTGACTTCAGGTGATCTGCCTGCCTCGGCCTCCCAGAGTGCTGCGATTACAGGCGTGAGCCACCGTGCCCAGTGAAGGGTGATTTCTATTAGACGAATCTGTGCTTCAGTCATGGATGTTAATAGAGAAACCTGTTTTCCTGCTACAGATTCCTGAGTAGAATTGCTGAAAGAGTCCACTTCTAGACTCAAGGGTAGTCGAAGACCAGTCCATGTAGAAAGGCTGAGGCAACTGGGAAAGACCTGACAGCTAATTACATATATTCTGACATAGTTCCCCCATAATGGCTTTTAGTGACACATGTGCTGATAGAATTCTAAACCTCTAAAATTCCCCTGCTGGTGATGCTGGTGTCTTCTTCTGTGCTTGTTTGTACAGGGTAACCTGATGCAGAATGCTGCAAGTGTGCTGAGAGCTAGAAGGCTGTGAAAACTCTTGCTAGGAAGGTTGGGCTTGGCATGACTTGCTCCAGTAGGAATCCTGGGGAGAGATTTTCAGCTTTAATTAAACAGTACATCCAGAGCAAAGGGTGACTCTCAACTCAGGTAGTTCTACAGGTCAGATGTGAATTTACCAAATCTCCCAATTTGTTTGTTTTTTCAGAGAGAGGGTCTTGCCCTGTCACTCTGGTTGGAGTGTAGTGGTGTGATCATAGCTCACTGCAGCCTCACAATCCTGGGTTCAAACAATCCTCCCACCTCAGCCTCCCAAACTACTGGGATTACAGACATGAGCCATTGTACTTGGCCAAATCTCCCAATTTAGAAATGCCTCTGTAAAGGGTTTGGGTCTATGTTTGGTTTTTTTGTTTGTTTGTTCTGTTTTGAGACGGGGTCCCACTCTCTTGCTCAGGCTGGAGTGCAGTGTCACAATCTTGGCTCACTGCATCCTCCACCTCCCGGGCTCAAGTGATCCTCCCACCTCAGCCTCCTGAATAGCTGGAACTACAGGGGCACACCACCATGCCCAGCTAATTTTTCTGGGCGGGGGTGGGTGAGGTGGGGACTTTATTTATACAGACAGGGTTTTGCCATGTTGCTCAGGCTGGTGTTGAACTCCCGAGCGCAAGTAATCTACCTGCCTTTGCCTCCCAAAGTTCTGGGATTACAGGCGTGAGCCAAAGCACTCAGCCCTGAGCTGTATGGTACTTCAAACTGCCAATACGCCAGCCCCCGACACTCTGATTGGTATTCCTTTAATTCATCAGACCCCATGTGCAATAAATGACTGAATGTTGAAATTGTTCTTCTTTGTTTGCCCAATCAGTAGATGGCCACTTTTTGTAACTTTATAATTACTTAATTTTATTTTTTTAAAGCTTATTTTGCTGTTTTTCAGTGTATAGTGTTTTACTGAGCTTCTGCAAATGCCATCACAGTTTTGTTTTGTTGAACAAAAAACATAAACTTCAAATGTTAAAGCAATGGAATCAATAAATTTATTGTTACATTAATGCGAACTACAAAGCAACCTTTAGTATATCTGATACCAAAGACATAACTGAAAAGTCATTTTTCCAAACCTTGAGCTTGCATTCACATACCCATCTAACTCTCACATGTGCTAATGAACGGCAAATGCCATTTCTGGGCTTCGCACACATTCTGTCGCTTTCCCTTTTCTGAGGTGACTTCCCTTCCTTACCCCACACCTCCCAGAGCTGTCCCCAGGTGTGCCCTTGCCTGGACAGCCCTGCAGCCTGCTTCATCCCAGCAAAGTATTCATCTTACCAGTCCATGACCTGACTCCTGACGTTACCCTTCGCTGCATCACCCTTCCCTGCGTATTTGGAGGATGAAGCTTGATTGAGGCTCAGGTACTGAGCTCCCTGAAGGTGCCTTGATGCTGGCACATTGAGAACCAGATGCCACCCCGATCATAAGGAAGACAGACCCAGGACTTCCATATGAATTGGATATGATCATCTGACGTGCCCCCTAATAACTGATGGATCCCGCTGTTACCCCAAAGCTCCAGACCACACCAGGCCAGACACAGGCATTTCCCGTGCCCTGAAGAGCCACTGAACCCAGCACAAAAGAGATCTAGAGCTCTCCAAACCTATGGAATGGCAACCAAAACCATGCCCAGGTTTTGAGTTAAGCCTCAATAGTCTCCCTTCTCCATCAACAGTGTAGAACTGTGCAGCACAGCACTAAGTGAATGAGAGCAGAAGCCTCAGGACAGAACTGAACCCACCAGCTTTAGCTGACAACACTGCCAGGGGTTCTATCCACCGATGGAATTTTCTCTGATCACTGAGTGAGAAGGCATGGGTGAGGGATGCAGAGCGCTGCTCGTCATGAGACATCAAGCTATCCAAGTCAATATCCTGTTAGTAGGGACAGGATGTTATAAAAGGCATAATGATCTCATCTGCCGCAGCTGGAAGCAATGATTCCATTGCCCCAGACTCGGAATTGTGATTTAAACTAGGCCTGTCTTCAGGAATCAGAACCAAATCAGAACCAAATTGCCTTATATGTGCAAGGAACTAATGCAGAAAGACATTATGGGTAAGTCAAGGGAGATGCCCTAGCCATTGGGCAGATTCCTCTGACTCTTCCCTGATGGAACTAATTCTTCTTCTTCTGTGCCTGGATCCTAGAGCCAAGATCCTTAAGGTCTGAGTACAAGTTCCGCTTCAGGATGGCACTGCTGCACAGTAGGGCACCTTGCAGGGCCCCGGCCAGCCCACAGGTGAAGATATCCTGGCCTAGGAGGCAAGAGCAGAGGCCCCTGAGCGTGACCCAGGCACGCCCAGGGGAGGGTGGGACCCTGGTGCTCTTCCCTCCACATGAGGGCCACCCAGAGCTGGCTCCAGTCAGGACCGGGGCCACAGCCTGCCCAGGCAGCCCTGCTCAGGGGATGGGAAGCTGCAGGGGACAGCAGGGCCTGAGGACAGGAAGAGAGGACGTTGGGCAACAGGGGCCCAGGGTCTCAGGTCCTGACAACATGGGGCAGTGAGTATACCTGTCAGGTAGAGGTTGGGGATGGGGCTCTGGGCCCTCAAGGAGGCGATCACACGAGGGTGCAGGCGGCCCAGGTCATGGTCAGCCCCGTAGCAGGCACCTCGGGGAGCAGCCAGATAGAACTGGTTGGTGAGTGGGGATCCTGCAGTCACACTCTCCACCTGAGGGCACAAAGGGTGGGGCGGGCACGTGAGATCCTGGCTCCCCTCCCTCTTCCACTGTCTCCCATTTGCTGACTGCGGGTATGGGTGCCCTGTCCTTCCCTGGGGCTCATGTCGTGGGGCCCGATTCCCCTGTCTTTGCAAGGAAAGGGCAGAAATGGCACCATGAGGTCCGTCACCACCCCAAATATTTTACCCCCTACCTTCCCCTCCAGCTGTGGGAACAGCTGACATAGAGGCTTCCACAAAGGAGTTTTTGAAGGTCTCATAGTCACTGCCCCGCTTTCCCTGCAGCTCCCCCCTGCCACTCCTCAAACCACTCGTAGGCGCTGGGTATGAGCATGGTCATGCTGGACCGGCCTGGGGGTCAGAGCTGACATTACTACTGCCCGGCCCCTCCCTCCAGTCCCTCACCCAGGACCCGCAGCCCCACCTGGGAATCGGTCCTCCCAGGTCGGATCCTTGGCTGATGGGAAAGCGATGAACAGAAGAGGGATGTGTTCCGCAGCCTTTTCCCTGGGCATGGAGACGTAGCGCTCCATCCTGCGTGTGACAGGAGTGTGGTGCGATCTCCAGGCTTTTGTCCTCAAAACCCCAGAACCACTGCAAGGACTGCTCAGCCCTAGGGACTCCCCACAGGGGTGAAGCTGAGCCACAGCCTTGAGGTGACAAACTTCCAGGAGCAAATTAGATATTGCCCATTTCCTCCCATTCCATATCCTCTGCTCATTCTGAGTCAAGCAGGGAGGCACAGGCCACACATACACACACACACACACACACACAGACACGTGCGTCTTACGCCTGGTCCATATCCGTGTCATAGTAAACATAGTAGTTGGTGGATGGCAGATGCAGTTCCTCCTTGGTGCCTTGCAGGCAGATGAAAACAGACATCATGCCTAAGCCAGGCCGCACCATCCCCAGCTGCTGCTTCACACCTGCCAAGGGGAGTGGGTGGTGCCTGTGTGAACTATGACCAGAGACGGCCACTCCCTGCTCCTAGGAGAGCCTTGGGGTGCCAGCTCTGGCACCTGCCTGAGGCATGCCAGGTCCCTGGCCACTCTGCTTCCTTCATTTAACTAAATATTTTTGAGGCCTTCAGATCATGTTCAGGAGGAAAATTCACAGACAAGGGAAAATTTTAACCAGATGGTGAGAGGGGGGTAGGAGGGACAGGTGACTCTAGCAGGGCTGCCTGGCCAGGACAGTATCAGTGCCCAGAGGTCCTGGGACAGGGAAGAACGGAGGTCACGGTCACAAAGAGAAAGGAAGTAGCAAAGGCAGAGTCTGCCTGTGCACCATGCCTGACCCCCCTGCTCTGCCCCTTGGCCATCTCTGCCTCACCCCTTCAGCTCCTGAGAGTCTGAGAGAGGGGAGGCCGTGCAGGCTGCAGGCTCAGCTACGAGGGGCAAAGAAAGGAGAGGCTGGCACTGGTGATAACCACCCTATGCCTGGAGACAATCACAACTCACCTTACACCAAGTCCCCATAGAGGAAGAAGCCAGATCCTCGGCCTTACCCCAGCCCGCTCTGCTGTGCCCTTCCCCGGTTCCTTAGGGAGCAGCTCCCGGCCCACCCTCTGGGTCCAGGGCTCCTTCCCCTGCTCTTGGCTCCTGCACCAGCCAAGGTTTCCACCACACCACATGCGAGCTGGCTCTGTCTCTCCAGCTCCCGCCCAGCCCTGAGCCCTTCATCTGGCCCCTTCTCTCTTCACCCTGCTGGGTTCCTGGTTCGCCCCTTCCCAGCAGCCTCCCCTTCCTCAGATCACACCAGATGCATCCAGTTACATGAAGTGGCGGGACCTCAGCCGCGGTGGCTCGGCGGCTCTGCTCCCTGTAGGCTGCCTGCTCTCTGCTTCTCCCTCCTGAGGTCTACTCTCCTGGAAGCCCCCTCAACCGAAAGGGTGAGAGGAGCTGGAGCTTTCAAATCAGACCAGCTACTCCACTCAGCCCTGCCCTTTCAGCTGAGTGGCCTCAGGACTGTATTAATCTGTATGGGCCTCAGTTTCCCCAACATTCAATGCTAGGTTAGGATGACATTAGAGGCAGCCTTCTCACCTTGTTGCGTAAGTACAATCAGAGGGCCGGCCAAGAAAGAGGGAAGCATGACCCAAATGGACAAGTTGGCTCCAGAAGGGGGCATGTTGGGAACCTGCAAGAGGGGCAGTGCGGACCCGCTTTTTACCTGGCAGACCAGCGGGCATTCCCCGGCAGTAGGTGCTCCATAGGTGTTGAACAGCCCTGCGTTGGAGACCACGACGGGGCAATAGATGTTCACCAGCTCATGCCCTTCTCCACACTGACACCTGCAGGCACAAGTGCTTGCGTGAGGGTCTGTGAGCCCCGGGGAAAGAGGAAGGCCCACGGCCCCCATGGATCTCTCTCTACCTGTGCCCATTGCTCAGACTTGGAGTCCAGCTACCTAGACTCAGGCAGGGCAGGCCCCTGGGAAAATGCAAAGTGAGTGAATATTTTCAAGTGCTTTCAGCCTATCCTACAACTGCTTGGGCTTACTTTTCCTAGCTCTGTACCACACCTGCGTGTGTGTGTTTGTGTGTACTCTGGTGTTTGAGCCAAATCCCAGACAAAGCTCAAGGGCTAAAGCACTTCCAGTGGAAATCAGGCGCTTTTCTCTGCTGCCAGAGTTGCTTCCAAATACTCTTTAATACTCTCCAATCGGGGCTGGGCACATTGGCTCATGCCTGTACTCTCAGCACTTTGGAGTCCAAGGTAAGAGGACTGTTTGCTTGTATATAGGAATTCAAGACCAGCCTGGGCAACATAGTGAGACCCTGTCTCTACAAAAAAAAAAAAAAAATTAAATTAAGCTGTATGGGCTTGTGCACACCTGTAGTCCTATCTCCTCAGCCAGACGAATGGGTTCAGCCCAGGAATTAAATGCTACAGTGAGCTCTGATGACACTACCACACTCTAGCCTGGGCAACAGAGTGAGACTGTGTCTCTAAAAAAATGAATGAATGAATAAAATAAAAATCAAACCCTGCAATGATGCCTTATCCTGGATAAGAGAACCTCCGAAATCTTACAGCAGCCTGTGCAATGTGGTCCCTTCTGTGTGTCCAGCTCCATCCATCTCTGCTCACTCTCACTAAACTCCCACTAAACTATTAGGCAGAACCAATATCAAACAGCTGAGAGTCAACCATTTCTCACCTACAAAAATGGCAGTTTCTCATTGTTCAACCTAATACTTCTGGATGCCTGAAATCACTCAGCTCTTTCATGTCTCCATGTTTTTGTGCATGCTGCTTCCCCTTCCCGGAATATTCTCCAACCTCATCTGTTTGCTAGGTTCATCTCACCCTTTATTACTCAACTCCACACTGTGCCTCCAGGAGGCTTCCCCTGTTCCACCATGCTGTCTGTTACCCCCATCCTTAGCACAGTCCTCCAGATGGCACGTAAATGAATGATTTTTGTTTTTGTTTTTGTTTAAGACGAAGCCTCACTCCATTGCCCAGACTGGAGTGCAGTGGCGCGATCTCAGCTCACTGCAACCTCTTCCTCCTGGGTTCAAGCGATTCTCCTGCCTCAGCCTTCCAAGTAGCTGGGATTACAGGCTCCCAGCACTGTGCCTGGCTAATTTTGGTATTTTCAATAAAGACAGGGTTTCACCATATTGGCCCGGCTGGTCTTGAACTCCTGACCTTGTGATCCACGCACCTTGGCCTCCCAAAGTGCTGGGATTACAGGCGTGAGCCACGGCGCCCGGCCCTGGCTAATGTTTGTATTTTTGGTAAAGACAGGGTTTCACCATGTTGGCCAGGCTGGTCCCAAACTCCCGACCTCAGGCGATCTGCCTGCCTTGGCCACCCAAAGTGCTGGGATTACAGGCATGAGACACCGGCGCCCGACCTCTTTTATCTCTATCTTTTATTACCTAGCACTTGAAAAACAAATATATCTGGATTGTATTTACCTCAATTGATAAATCTACCTTGCTTCCTGGACCCCTTTCAGCTAGGAGAACTTGTTCACGGACATCAGAGAAAACCTTGCCCAACTGACATCCACCTCTCTCTTACCACCCAGTAACTTATCAGTTTCTTCTACTAATGGATTCTCTCAGATCACTGATGGCCTTTTCTCCTCGATTTTTTATTTTGCACTGGGTCCCCCACTTATCACCTCCTTCAAAGGTTCCTCTGATAAATGCATGTCTATACCAGCCCAGTTTTTCCCAGGCCTCTTTTTGTCTGCTTCCCTGGCTTCTTTAAGCACCCATTAGTCATGGTGGGTTAAAGTCATGGCCTGTTCTGTTTAACAGACTCCTTCTTGCACAGACCCTCTATTCCAAGAGTAATTTATACTGGGATTCGGAGTCCCTATCCAGGTTACAGCATCAATCTGAGCCAGTGTAATAAGGTTCTAGGCCTCACTTTACAGACAGAGGCAGGGAACCTTGTTGGCCTCCGTACTACCCTGTGGAATCCAAGGTTATTCATTCATTCCATCGGTCACTGAGCAGCATTTATTGAGCCTCTAATATGTGCTAAGATTTATAGATACAAAGATAAAAGACAGTCTCTACACTCAAGAAGACAATTGACTGGTCACGGTGGCTCACGCCTGTAATCCCAGCACTTTGGGAGGCCGAGGGGGGCGCATCACAAGTTCAGCAGATGGAGACTCTCTTGGCTAACACATGGTGAAACCCCGTCTCTACTAAAAATACAAAAAATTAACCGGGCGTGGTGGCAGGCACCTGTAGTCCCAGCTACTCGGGAGGCTGAGGCAGGAGAATGGAGTGAACCTGGGAGGTGGAGCTTGCAGCGAGCTGAGATCAGGTCACTGCACTCCAGCCTGGGCGACAGAGCAAGACTCCATCTCAAAAAAAAAAAAAAAAAAAAGACAGTCATAGATTACTGGGTAAATAATTTTATCTATTAAATAAATAACAAAATACTGTTCTTTGGGGACCATGCAATCCTTTATTTTTCTTTTCTTTTTTTTTAATTTTTTTTTTAGACAGTGTCTCACTCTGTTGCCCAGGATGGGGTGCAGTGGTGCAATCAAGGCTCACTGCAATCTCTACCTCCCGGGTTTAAGCGATTCTTCTGCCTCAGCCTCCCAAGTAGCTGGGACTACAGGTGCGTGCCACCACACCCAGCTAATTTTTGTATTTTTAGTAGAGATGGGGTTTCACCATATTGGCCAGGCTAGTCTCAAACTCCTGACCTTGTGATCCGCCTCAGCCTCCCAAAGTGCTGGGATTACAGGCTTGAGCCACCGCGCCCGGCCTTTTTTTTTTTTTTAAAAGAGGGTTTACTCTGCCGCCCAGGTTGGAGTGCCGTGGCCGGATCTCAGCTCACTGCAAGCTCCGCCTCCTGGGTTCACGCCATTCTCCGGCCTCAGCCTCCCGGAGGCTGGGACTACAGGCGCCCGCCACCTCGCCCGGCTAGTTTTTTGTATTTTTAGTAGAGACGGGGTTTCACCATGTTAGCCAGGATGGTCTCGATCTCCTGACCTCGTGATCCGCCCGTCTCGGCCTCCCAAAGTGCTGGGATTACAGGCTTGAGCCACCGCGCCCGGCCTTTTTTTTTTTTTTAAAAGAGGGTTTAACCATGTTTCCCAGGCTGGTCTCAAATTCCTGAGCTCAAGCGATCCTCCCATCTCAGCTTCCCAAAGTGTTGGGATTACAGGCGTAGACCACCATGCCCGGCTGATCCTTTATCTTTCCTGCTTCCTTTTTATTTCTGGACTAATCACTATCCCTGGACCCTGCTCTGGGGCAGATTCTCACCTTTAGCCCCCATAAGAAGGTCAGTTCTCCTACTCCGTCTGGTCTTAGGGACACCACAGGTCTCGTCCACACCAACCCAGGGACCCAGAAGGGCAGGGCAGGGCAGGGCTCTCACCACAGGCTTTCCCAGCTGAGTCCAGCAACACACTCTGCACAGTGGCCCTTGTAAGGACAGCACCTCCAGCCCGCTGAATCACAGGGATGGTATGGAAGGCAATTTCACTGGAACCCCCTCGGGGATAAAAGGCTCCTTTCAGGTAGTGGTTAACCAGCAGAGCGTGCATGGAAAAGGCACTGTGACGAGGGGTGACACCTGCAGAAGGAAGGAAGGGTGGTGAGCAGGCAAAAGCAGGCACCAGCACCATTCAGAAACGAATGTGGAATTCTATGAGATAACACATAGCCCAGTCTATCCAAGGATCCACACGTTCCTCAGGGTTCAAGGCAGTCAGAAGAGACTTTCCATCCAGTCATGGGGTACCTTAGAGATCTTGGCACCAGTAGGAATATCCTCCCTGCAAACTGCCATGCTGCCAAGACCAGGGAAGACAGTGTTGGTTGAACGGAAAAATCATCCAGGGCATGGATAAAGAGAATTTTGACCAAGGAGTCCAGCAGGTGGCCGGACTTCTCATCCACAAGCTCCAGAGGGCCTGGGGTTTACACTGCTCCATATCAGTCAGTCAGGCAGGGTCAAGAAGAAAGACTGAGAGACGAGAGGGTAGCCCTTCCTCCTCCAGAAGCTGCCCAGAGCCCATGGCCAGTACCCACCGTAAGTGGGGAAGATGTAGCTGAGCACTGCCTGGAGCTCAGAGGAGGCCCCCAGCTGCTGCAGGACCTCAGCCAGGCTCTGGGTGGATGCATGAAGGAACGGAGAGAAACGAGTCAGCAGCCCACACCTGTCGAGGAGCTGAATCACGGGCAATGGGAGGAACTTCAACAGGATGGCATGAGTGACTCCATTGGATACCACCTGGGGGAGTGAATGAGGAGAGCAGGCCTCACCCCTGGAACCGCTGTGTCAGAACTGCTATCCCCATAGCCTGGACCAGCCCGAGGATCCAGCAACACTTACCCCTGACTGAACTTTGCTGAATTTGAATTTTTAAAAAAAATCTATACTCTGTGAATTTTTCCTGTCCTACACTTGGATGAGTCCTTCTTTTACTTTTTATTTTCCTGCTCAAATTCCTTTTCAAAAATCCCAGTCTGGTCTCGGATGAGTAAAAAGGAGTAGTGATCTGATGTCATGGAAGCCAGCCTAGTCAGGGAGGAGAGCAGGGCATCCCTGGAGGCCAGGGGGACAGCAGCAGCCGTGCAGTCAAGGCTCCAGAGAGAAAGAGAGACACAGAGAACTGGATGGACTCGGGTGGAGGCTGAGCTAAGAACAGGTATGACTCTTCCTCCCTTCCTGCCTCTCCCCACTGCACTCTCCACCCCCAGTGCCTCCACTAATAATGAAGAAAGTCAGTCTTGTCGGGAATAAACTCTGGGTCCTCAGCATGTCCATGTTACCTTAACCAGCTTTATATACTTGTCAATGATAGCTTCCTCCTGTGGAAACTTCTCTTTGAGGCCCTGAATGTAGGCTTTCTCTCCACTGTACATGGGGTACTCCTTTCGGCCATTAGGCCCTTCCAGTACCATGATGTCAAAAGGGGAAGACATGGGAGCCCAGTCCAGCTGCCCTTCAGTGATCTGGTCCAAGATAAAACGGCCAATGCTGCCCTCCTCCATACGCCCAATGTAATGGATTCCTGTTGGGAGATGGAAAAACAAGGTAGTAAAGGCATACGAGGATTGAGCCCTGGAAAGGTGGCTGAGGAAGTGAGGTGGAAGAGGTTATCTGGCCTGGCCAAGTTCATGCCCAGAGTGAGCTGCCCACCCTGTCTGTAGGGAGGTGTCACAGCAGAAACCACCAGATCCCTGCCCGGCTCAACTCCCAGTAGCTATGCTGTCACATAAGAAAAGTGCCCAGAGGCTGGGCACGGTGGCTCACACCTGTAATCCCAGCACTTTGGGAGGCTGAGGGAGGTGGATCACTTGAGGTCAGGAGTTCGAGACCAGCCTGGCCAACATGGAGAAACCCCGTCTCTACTAAAATACAAAACAATTAGCAGGGTGTAGTGGCCCACTTGGTGGGATTACTGAGTGTAATCCCAGCCACTCGGGAGACTGAGGCATGAGAACCACTCGAACTCAGGAAGTGGAGGTTACAGTAAGCTGGGATCACACCACTGCGCTCCAGCCTGGGTGACGAAGTGAGACTCTATCTGAAACAAACAAAAAAAGTGCCCAGAGAGAAGACGGCACTTCCAAAACAACAGAAATGCTCAGTATCACCCCACAAGGGCTGCTCCAAGCCTCTTCAACATATAGCCATGCTCCCAACCCTTTTCCACACAAGCCTTACCTGTGTCAAATTCAAGGCCATTCTCTCCAAAGGTATGACAGGCGCCCCCTGCCTTGGTATGTTGTTCCAGCACCAGGACTCGCTTGCCAGCTTTAGCTAGAATTGCAGCTGCAGCCAGACCCCCAAAGCCACTGCCAATTACCACCACATCCAGCTTCTCCGGCACTCGGCTGACTGAAAAAGCTACAGCAGAAGGGCCAAAGGGTGGGTTTCTCAGGCAGGGGCAGGGAAATAGCAAAGATGGGGAAACCAAAGAAGACTTCTCTAGCTTGTACAGTGCAAGAAACCTCTCGAGCAGTTTGGCATGGAACTCTTGACTAACATGTTTCAAACATTTTACCTGGGAATACTCAGAACCAGCCAGGCAGATTTGGGGTTTTGTGTTTTTGTTTTTTGAGACAGGGTCTCGCGCTGGCCCAGGCTGAAGTGCAGTGATGTGATCACAGCTCACTGCAGCCTTGAACTCCTGGCCTCAAGCAATCCTCCTGCCTCTGGCTCCCGAGTAGCTAGGACTACGGGTGCATGCCACCATGCCTAGATAATTTATTTTTATTTTTATTTTTATTTATTTTTGAGACAAGAGTCTCGCTCTGTCACCCAGGCTGGAGTGCAGTGGCGCAATCTCCACTTACTGCAAGCTCTGCCACCCGGGTTTACGCCATTCTCCTGCCTCAGTCTCCCGAGTAGCTGGGACTACAGGCGCCCGCCACCACGCCTGGCTAATATTTTTCTTTAATATATATTTTTTAGTAGAGACGGGGTTTCACCGTGTTAGCCAGGATGGTCTCGATCTCCTGACCTCATGATCCACCCGCCTCGGCCTCCCCAAGTGCTGGGATTACAGGCATGAGCCACCGTGCCCGGCCTGTTTTATTTTTTATAGAGACAAAGTCTTGCTATGTTGCCCAGGCTGGTCTTGAACTCCTGGCCTCAAGTGATCCACCCACCTCGGCCTCCCGAAGTGCTGGGATTACAGGCATGAACCACCATGCCCAGCCCACAGGCCGGGTTTCTTTGGAAGATGCAGGGTCTGCAAGCAACAGTGGAGTAGCTGGGTCTTATGGTGGCTCTTCCAGGTCCTGATGGAAAGGCTTGGGCAGGACAGAACTGCTCAGAGGCTGCAGCTCTGAGAAATCACAGCACCAGCCCGTCCCATAGGGAAGGTCTGGGGGCATTGCTGAGGGAGGCAGCACCTTCTCAGAAGACAAAACTGGATAGCAAGTAGTGCTATATGGGTACTTCCAACACAAGATCTGTTCTTTAAATCACTGGCAAAGAACTGAGATCTGGAATGTTTCAAGATACAAGAGAACTTGGCAGACTGCTTATTTTTTGAATGTTTTTAGAGAGATCAATAGTAAAAAAAAAAAATTCATATGTAAATATATAAGATAAATATATGAAACAAGTTTCACAATGCAATACTTAGTGGAACTACGTATAATGCACTCTGATATTTTCTATTCTACTGCATTCTAAAATGTTAGTTGTGACCCAGCACGATGGTTCACGCCTGTAATATCCCAACATTTTGGGAGGCCAAGGTGGGCAGATCGCTTGAGGCCAGGAGTTCGAGAGCCTAGACAACATGTTGAAACCCTGTCTCTACTAAAAATACAAAAATTAACTGGGCATGCACACCTCTCGGGAGGCTGAGGCACGATAATCACTTGAACCCAGGAAGTGGAAGTTGCAGTGAGCAGAGATCGCACCACGGCACCCTAGCATGGGCAACAGAGCGAGACTCTGTTTCAATAAATCAATAAATAATGCCAGTTGCAACTCACTAAATTGATTTCATAGCCCACTAATAGATCACAACGCGGTTTGAAAAGCAGTTAAACTAGTCATCTCATTTTTAGACCAGCCCAGGTAGGTGCTAATGGTTATGCAGCAAATTAGTGACAGTTCAAACTAAAACTCAGTTCTCGGAAGTCCAGATGATTAGTCCTTCCACTTAGAACAGTACTGTCTCCGATTGTGCAGCAAGATATGACACGGAGAATTCTAAAATTCACAAGTGAGAGGGACTCTGTAGAGCAAACAGATGATCCATTATTTTTTAAAGCAGCAGAACTCTTTAAACCCTAGAAGCAACCACAAAATATGTTTTAAAGATGAGAGTGGAGAGCAGGCTCTGAGCCTGAGGCACCCTGTTGAATCTCTGCCAAAGTTTCAGAACTAGGGTTCAATCCTTACGACTCGAGACCATGCAAAGCCTGTTAAATCACCGGACTGGCAAAATGCAATTTCCTATGCAAGTTGGGACACATTTCTGTGTTGTCCCCCACACCCCTGAGCTCTCATGGGAGGGTAGGTGAAAAAGTTAAAGTCCTGGAACCAAGTGGAGGAATGTCTCTTATCAGGTCCGTGAGCTGCCGGGATTACAAGTGGCAGGGCGGGTGCCAAGACCTTGCAAACCAAGGACAGTCACCGCGCCCTTGGGACTACTATTCCCGGGGCCTGCTAGGGCGAAGGCTATCGGGGCCTGCTAGGGCAAAGGCTATCGGGGCCTGCTAGGGCGAAGGCTATAGACAGTGTCGGACACTAAAGCAGGGCTCCTCCCCGTGCAAGGAAGCCCTCCCAGTACTTTACATATGGGGAAACTGAGGCCCGGGTCTGGTAGCGGCTGCCTTGGCAAAATGAGAACCCAAACCTGTGAGAATGCCTGAAGTGCAGCCCCGGATCCCAGGGTCCCTCCTACTACCTTGTTTGAGAACCTTCTTCCTGGCCTCCTTGTCAGTTACCAGGGGCGCTGGTGGCCGTTTGACATCTTCGGAGAAAGGATTCGGGGATTTGCCAGAGAACAGTCCCGAGTAAACTTTGCAGACGACGGCCAGCAGCAGCACGCTCAGAAGCAGCACCAGCGGAAGCCACATCTCGCCGGCCTCGGGTCGGGTAAATGGGACAGCTCTGACTGCGCTCAGCCTCTAGGACTGTGGCTCCGCCCGGGCTAATTCGCTCTTCAGTCAGGAGGCGGAGGCAGCTTTGAGCACTAATTAACCAGCCAGCCAGCCAGCGAGAAGCCAGCAATCTGGTGACGACTGACCCTCCCGGCTCCCCGTACTTCTTTTGCAGCGCATGGTTTCCATTGCCTACTGGGAAATGTAGTTCTCGGGGCCAGTGGAGACGGCACGGAAGAGGCCTGTGCGCAGGAGCAGATGAGGCCTAGCAGAGGCGGCGGGATCCCCAAGTTTGGAAAGCTGTGTTAAGGGTGAGAACGCGTTAACATCTGCCAAGGGGTTAACCCCTTTGATAAGCTCCCTAACCCCTTTGATAAGCTGGTTGGTGCCTTTGTGGAGCTAGCAGCCGGCCTGAGGAGGGAGGGAGAATGTGATCCGGTGGAAACGATCACTGCAGGGCGAGACAAGGCCTAGAGTTATAAGACTGAAAGAGAATCCCGACTGGGAGACAGGAGTCTTGAGTTCTGGTCCTGGCTCTGCCCTGGACTCGCTGCCCTGAGGTGTTAAATTGCTTTCCTCCTCTTACGCCTCCAGGCAATGCGAAAGTTCTGTCCAAAGTCCGCATACAACCCCTGTCTGACTGGGTATCTTGAATTGAAATCTCTGTTCTGCGCATCACAGCCGGTGAGCCTGTGGCTCTGTGCCCCTCAACATGGCCCATAGTTTTGTCCTGGGAGCCTGCCTGGGACGGAGTCCTTTATGGCGGGTCCCTAATGACACCCCATCCGTGGGGAACCTGGGGGACGGGGAGCCGCCTACGGACTAGCACGGTGAAAGGATCAGCGAAGGGCCGGTCTAATTTAAATTCCTGTGCGGAGTCTAACCTCCAGCAAGCAGTTGAAGAATCATACCCTCTCCTTGCCTGAAGTGGATGCGCAATGAATACTTGATTTGAGAAGGATCCATTTTTATAGGAAGGCCGTTAACTTAGGTCCAACTATCAGGAACTTGCCTTTGAGTACTTCCTTTTTTGACAGTTGTTGCTCTTTTATTCTCTGATACAGATAGTGACTGTCCCTACTGAAGACCCCAGCAGTACTCCAACCAGGTGTGGAAAGCTGGTCACGATTCTACGCTACTTGGTTCATTTTCTACACAGCAACAGAAAAGCCTTCCTGAGACTGCTATTACCATACCCGCCTGTTATCTTGCCAAGGCTGGCCAATGTGTGTTTTGGCATAGGCTGTCATGGAGGCCCTGGTGGAGGAAAAGGAGAGAGGGGGCAGATGTTGAGGCCCCAGAGGCCACAGTGAGAACAGTTTAGTTCCTGAGGTACCAAGACTGAGGAGGCACTGTCCTGCCCCCAGGATTATAATGAGCCACATGTCCAGCCCAAGAGCCAGGAGGTATTCTTCCTCTCAGTGTTAATAATCAAAGCATCCTGACACCAACAGCCAGTTCTTATGGAATCCTGATCATTATTACCACAGTGGAGAGCTGACCTGGTAGAGAGGCTACCCTCCTTCGTTAGTCACCCAAGCCTGTGAACTATGATTGTCAGTTGTATGTGGGCCGTCTGCCCACTTAGGATGCAATTTTTGATGTGACAGACATCCCAGATGTCCAATTCCCCCGTGATCAAGTATGAGCCTTGTCCAGCCCTTTTCCTTAGGGAAGCAATGTCAGATGAAAGACTTAGAGTTGCCCAAACTGGCTAGTCAGTTTGTACTGCCACATGTACAGTATTGGTGATAACTGAGAAAGGTTAGAACATTGTGTTGCATTTTGAATTTCTACCATCGTTGGAACCAGGTCTAGTATTATCAGCCCCAGACCCAACCTGTGTGTGAGGCCTAAACAAAGCCTGAGCACTTCAGCTAAGACGACCCACCAAGGTGCCACCTTTAGCCTAACCCCTTTGATAAGGTGTTAGGCCCAGGTGCCAGTAATTCCATTGTCAGAAACAGACCCCATCCCTTCTAGTGGTGCTGCTGCCTTTTGAGCACAGAATCCAGCCCACAGACCCCCTGCATGGTCCCCTTTTTGCCATCCTGTGGCATGGGTAGTAAGAGGGAAGCATTTGGCTGAGGCAAGTTGTTCATTCAGAATAAATTCACAGCTGCTTAAATTTTGTCAACAGGCCGGGCGCGTTGGCTCAAGCCTGTATTCCCAGCACTTTGGGAGGCCGAGGCGGGCGGATCACGAGGTCAGGAGTTTGAGACCAGCCTAACCAACATAGTGAAACCCCGTCTCTACTGAAAATACAAAAATTAGCCGGGTGTGGTGGTGCACGCCTGTAATTCCAGCTACTTGGGAGACTGGGACAGGAGAATCGCTTGAACCTGGGAGGCGGAGGTTGTAGTAAACCGAGATCACACCATTGCACTCCAGCCTGGGCAACAGGCAAGACTCCATCTCAAAAAATAAATAAATAAATAAATAAAAATTGTCAACAGAGGCATAACTGAACGATGAAACCAGTTTTCTTTTTCAATTTCCTTTTTTTTCTTTTGGGCAGAGCTGAGGCTTCAAAGACCTCAGGGGACTTCTCTCAGTACTCACAGAAACCTCCTACACCCTCAGATGGCACAAAGGGACCGTTTTCTTACTCTTAGTCTGAGTGACTGCCAAGAAGGAAGGCAAAGGTAGAGGAACTGGATCTCTGGCTCTCCACATAGCTTCTGATCTCAGAACTTATTAAAACCCTTTCAGGGCCCAAAGACAAAGCTCACATGAACAAATGATTTTGAGTCATGAATGAAAAATCTTGCTCTTTCCATAGTAAAGAAGAATTCAGAGATGGACAGGTAAGCATGCAGTCTTATTTGGGAAAGATGGTGTTGGTTTGAGATATATCATTAAGTATAGTAAGAATATATTAAGAGAATATGAAGCTTTAGAAAAATTTAGAAACCCTCATTATAGTTATCTTTGTTCTATAAGAAGGAGCTTCTATTCACCTCAGGGTCAATTGCTTTTCCTGACAGCTTGTTTTCTGACTGAGTTATGAGATTTTTGTTTTCTTTTTGCTTGGGTAGTGGGGAGAATTTCATTGAGAAATCACCCTCAATGAAATTGATTTGTATTTCGTTGATTTGGATCATTTACCTTACTAGCCTCTTCCCTGTGAAATGCTTACTTTGGCCTGATCATCGTCAGGACTCAGTTCAATGTGATATGTCTTTGTATAAGCTGGGCACCTAACCCTACATGCCTTACCTTTCATGCTACCTTGCCCACCCAAAAATGGTCTTAAATGGCGGCCCTGGGATTCAGTGGCCAGACTGGGACAAAGCCTTTGCTTTGGGTCTCCAGAAAGATTTTCTTCACCGTAGTAAGATAAGAACTGTTCCAAAGAGGGAAGTCTTTGGACACTGGAGGGGACTGAATTGGAGAAGGAAAGGAAGGAAAAGGAAAAAGAAGGAAAGGAAGATGAAATGAATACCAGGTACACAGACTGCTGCAGGAAGTTGTTCAGCACAATGAATCACCAAATATTTTAGAGATAAAATTTCAACAAAAATTTGAGACAAATATTTTGTGCTTAGTACTGTGCCAATGGGTATGAAACATATAAAAGAAATATAAGAGCCTGGGCACAGTGGCTCACACCTGTAATCCCAGCACTTTGGGAGGCCGAGGCGGGTGGATCCCCTAGGCCGGGAGTTGGAGAGCAGCCTGGCTAACTTGATGAAACCCTGTCTTTACTAAAAATACAAAATTAGCTGGGCATGGTGGTGCATGCCTGTAATCCCAGCTACCCAGGAAGCTGAGGCAAGAGAATTCCTTGAACCCAGGAGGTGGAGGTTGCCGTGAGCTGGGATCACACCATTGCACTCCAGCCTTGGTGACAAAGTGAGACTCTGTCTCCAAAAAAAAAAACAAAAAAGAAATATAAGAGAAGGTCCTTCTACAGGCCTTTTGCAGAGGAACTTTTGCTGTATACAAGGGTTACTGGACTTACGGGCATGAGACAGCGTTGTAGCCCCAGCTAGTAAGGTAGGTTGCCTTGAGTAGGTGGAATTGACCATGATCAGAGAAGAGGGTGAAGGTGTATTCTGAAGGAAAACTACATGAATGAAGGAATGGAAGTGAGAAGAGGATCTGCGGCAGGTGTGTTGATTGTATTACAGTGGGAAATCGTAATGTTTAGCCATCATGAGCTCCTTTACCAGGGAGTTTGGTCAGCTGTGGGGTGTTTTGGCCTCCATCCTTGCTCTGGAACATGAAGAAATGAAAGGTATGCTTAATGAGCATTAGTTGGAAACGAAAAAAAAAAAAAAAAAGCAGAAGGATTAGAGTAACAGGATGAGCTGAGATTCCAGGGCTTTGGCATAATACATTCACATGGTTCAAAATCCAAAAAGTACAGAAGGATATACGTATTCTGAAGAAACCGCCTTCCACCCTTGTCCCCCAGCCACTCAGGTTTTCTGCTGGAGGCAAAGCTACTGCTTCCTTGCGTATAACTCTGAAAATGGTCTCTGCAGAGACAAGCAAATGTGCTTATGTACTTTTAAAAAATAAAATGATAAAATAGTGCATAGACTTTGTCCTTTGCTTTTTCACTTAACACATCATGAAGATTGTCCCATATTGCTTGTAAAGCACTTTCTCATTTGTCTTTATGGCCATATAGTATCTTACTGAGTGAATGTGCTTTTATTTATGTAATCAGCCCATTAGTGAACATTTAGGTTTTTCCAGCCTTTCGCTATTATAAACAATGTGACAAAGGATCACACTATAAATGTAAACATGTCATTTTGCACATGGATGATTATATCTGTTAGATAAATTACTAGAATGCAGTATCAGGCCCCACATATACAAAACATGTATGATTTTGTTAGGTACTGTCAAGCTGTAGAGGTGGTAATAGTTTAATCTCCAGTGTGTTGTGCACTCTAGTCAATGTACACGTTATCAGACTTTTCGACCTTTGATGATCTGACTAATAAAACAGTAGTTTTACATGACTTTTTTTTTTTTTTTTTGAGATGGAGTCTTTTTCTGTTGCCCGGGCTGGAGTGCAATGACACCATCTTGGCTCACTGCACCCTCTGCCTCCCGGGTTCAAGTGATTCTCCTGCCTCAGGTTTTCGAGTAGCTG